CCACCAGCGTACGTGTTGGAGTGCAGTGAGTGGGAGAGCTGCAGGCTGGGCTGAACTGGGGGTTCAATGGACCAAACCACAGGAAAAAAATAACAATCTCCTCCCTGCCTGTGTGCAAACAAGGATTTGCGCCAAGAAGTGGCATACAGGGACTGTTCCTTGGCAGGGGCCTCACATCAGTAGCTGAAGCCTCCTTTATTAAAAATAATAGTAGTGGTAGTGTTCTTCTGGCCATGGTCAATTAAAGTCTTATCTGCCTTCCTAACAACGCTAATGGCTAATGTTTTATTCCTTCAGTGTTCCTCTTGTGGCAGTATCCCCAAAACAGGGCCTTGAAGCGAGAAGCTGCTTGGGTAAAGACTGTAGCTGTCAGGCTGCTTATGCATAACAGAAAGGCAAGTTTTCACAGGGCACACTTACCTCTCTAGTGGGGATAATGAGGATGGTGGGAAGGAAATCCTTGGGCTCTTAGAGCACTCACCCCTTTGCCAGGAGGTAGCAGATGAGCCTTTGCAGGATTCCCTTTGCTGCTTCCCTGAGCTCTATTTGGTTTGGCTTTGCAAAGGAGGGTGGTGGAAGCCTGACTCTTCCCACAGTTTAACTATGCAGAGGGAGCTGGGCAGGCCCCATACTGCTGCCTGCGCAGGTGCCCTGTGTAGTAGGGTCCAAGGATTCAGTGCCAGCATCTGCCCAAGTGGGAGCTGACCCGGCCTCCCCTGACCTCCCTGCAGCAGCACTCCTCCAGGGCGGAGAATCCCCTGCCCTGGGTGCTGCCAGCAGCTTGGGAGAGGAGTTTAGTTAGTTGTTTGTGTGGTGGTTTTTCCAGAGGAATTGGAGGGGGTCGGGGGGGTTGTGGCCTCTCCCAGACAGTGATGAAAAGCAGCCATCAATAGAGGAATGGGAATGGGCGCTCAGGGAAACCCACAGTGGCTCCAGGGACTGTGAGTCAGAAGGGAGGGGGGCCCTAATTTCTGATGGATCACAGCAGGAAGGTGGAGTTGTTGTTCTGTTTGTCTGCATTAAAACACATTTCCAAGTGCGATATGCAGCAGCTGCTCTGTAAAATTTAATCTCCTTTGTCTCCTGCAGTCGGCTTGTTTTTTTTTTTTTTGTTTGTTTTTCTTCCCTCTCTGTCTGGCTGTGCCTGTTCTCTCCTTTAAGAGACTGACTTCCCTCTGTCAGGGTTTGGCTTTTCTGGCCTTTGCATCTTTCAAGTGTTTCGCTTCCATCTAGTTGTGCCTTAGGAGCTTTTCTCCTTCCTCTGCTCCTAGCACCTCAGCCTTGGCTCTGTGGTCCCTTGATTGCTCTCTGGGGATGGTAACAGTGTGGAAGACCCTTGACCCAGGGAGTCAGGAGCTTCTGTGAGCCCACCTGCTAACCTAGGACTTGTGGCTTATGATCAGAGAGAGGAATAAAAGAAAGAATCTAGAAGGTCTTCCTGCAGGGACCAGGATGACCCAACCACAGGGTGGAGAGCCAGGGGCTGGAGCTGAAGGTTGGTGTGTTTGTGGCATTCTGAGACCAAGGACAGGCAGAACCTGTGGGTGGGCCCCCTCGCTTCTGCCCTGCCATAGCTGTGGACTGGCTTCCCACTACCTCTGGCCTGTGGAGATGGGCAGCTCTGTGAAGAAATGGAATGTGGTGACAGTGCTGGTTAGCTGTCACCTGGGTCTTTTCTTGGGATAATCCTTTGTTACTCTTAAGGTGTAAGTAATTGGTTTTGTACCTGTGGGCTGGGATTAGGGCAAGCAGTCTGCATTCTGTTGGAGGGGAACCTGTGATTCGCTAGCCCAAGGGATTCAGTCTGTACTCTTGCCTCCTTTTCTAGACCAGCAGAGCTGCGAACCAGTGCTGTTTTCATGCTGCCCTGAGGAGAATCCGCTGACTGTGATTAACTGGTGCTTAGCCACAGTGGCTTGTGGTAGCACCAAGTGTCCTGTGAGGCTCAGCACTGACTAGATGGCAACAAGGAACACATGTGGAAGCCAGAAACTGATTTTGCAACAATGAGGTGCCTCACCCACCCACTGCTCAAGAGGTTGTTGGGTCTCTCACCTCAGTGTGTGCCAGGGGGACTGAGTCCAAGTAAAGTTCCTGTTGTCAGGCCAAAGCGGTCATCTCTGAGGCAGAGCTGCAGTGCAAGACCTGAGCTCGTGACTGCCGCTGATGTGGTCAGCTACTGGCAGAAGGTGTTTGAGACAAATGGGATCCCTGAAGCACGAGAATCCAGTGAATATATTGTGTCATTTGTCCTGGGAGCAAAAACAGTTAAGTAATAGGAACAGAATAAGGTCTGTGTGTGCTTCTCACTTTGTCATTTTGGTTGAATCCCTTACCTTTTTATCTTACTTATACGAGGCAGAACAACTTGTCCCTACCTTAGATAGCAGAGAGGGTGAGACATGGTTTATTAATGCCCATAGACGACTTGAAGTCTCTTCAGTGCTGCCTTTTGCAGGGACTGTGAAATGTAACCCATGACATATACACCCACACTGTACCCTCACTTGCCTGGTGGAATTATTCTTAATTTTACCTATTCTTCTCAGCCCCAAAAAGCGGCAGAACACTTGTACAAGTTTGTTTTTAAACATACAGATAGGTTGTCCTAATCGTTTGTGGTTTCCAACAGTCCCAGGCATATGTGTTTGTCAGCATGCTGGCTTTCCCTGGAGGATGCCCTTGGGAGGGGCAGAGGGCACCCAGGTGGCACAAATGGGCAGATTTTACAGTGACCTTGTCTTCAGTTTCAGAGCTTGAATTCCAAAAGTCTCCGCACTCCACTTACAGCAGCTCAGCAGGAGCAAATCCAGCAGCTGAGCCACAAGCGACTGGAAAGGTAGGAGCATCCTCTTACCGTCTTTCTTTGGAGGGTTTTCCTTCAGTCTTAATGGAGCTGGAATGGTAGCAGAGAGAAGGCAGAAGACCATTAGCAGCTGACATGTCAAGTAACAGTGCTGTGTCAGGGTCTCATGGGCACTGAAGTGATGGGCATTTACTGTTGTCAGGTAGCAAATCACTTATCTGGGAGCAAAGAGGGTTTAAGGAATGTTGCAGAGGAGCAGAAAATTGGCAGTGCTGGCTCTGAGTTGGGTATGTTTTCTTTAAGCCCTTCTGTGAGAGCTTTGCCTGCAGAGGGTTTTCCTTGGTGTTGAGAAGTATTCATGGCTGCTGCAGCTTTGGTCTCCATTTGCTTGCTCTGTGTGAGGGGTTCTCTTAGTGCAAAAAATTAAATGGGTTTTATGTGAAGGAGCTACTTGGAATCGGGCTGGGCCTGGGGAAAGGAAATATTCAGGAACTTGGATAATTTAGAAGAGTGGGAGATGTTTGGGAGTATGTTGGAGGTAGCATTGTCCTGCTTGTTTATGTGAGTGCGGTTATGATGTGGATCCTCATTTTGCTGTGCGAATTAATCCTGCCATGACTTAACACAGAATAGGATGTGAAGGTTTCTCAGGGAGTCAGTGTGTTAGCAGTGGTTACCGTTTGTGGGATCTGAGTGTCGTCCCTGAATTTTTCCTGCTGCTCTTGAGTCTTGTGTTAGGAGCAGAAATGCAAAATTTGCAGAGCTGTCTGACTTGTAAGTTGCTCTGTCTTGAGTGCTGTTGAGGTTGCAACAAATGTCTGCTCTTCTACATGAAGAATTGAGATATGGTGCCTCACAGCAGCTGAAAACATGGCCCCAAAATTCATAGAACCAGAGAGTCATGGAGGTTGACAGGGACCTCTGGAAATCTAGTCCACCTCCTGCTCAAAGCAGGATCAGCTAGAGCAAGTTGCTCAGAGCCATGCACAATTCGGTTTTTAATATAGCTAAAGATAAATACTGTGCAACCTCTCTGGACAGCCTGTTCCAGTGTTTGATAGCTCTCACAGTGTTTAAAAGAAGAAAGAAAAAGGGGGCTGGTTCTTAGGTTTAAGTGGAATTTTCTGTATTTCAGTCTGTGCCCTTTGCTTGTCTTTTCACTGGATACCACTGAAGAGAGTCAGGCTCCAACTTCTTTACTCCGTCTCACCAGGTGCCGATGGTTATTGATGAGATTTCCCTCCCCTGCTTCCCCAGCCTGAGCCTTCCCTTCTCACGGCTAATCTGTGCCAGTCTCTCTCCTTGTATGTCAGATGTGCCAGCCCCTTAATTATCTTAGTGGCCATTTGTTAGACTTACTCCAGTATGTCCATGACTCTGCTGTGCTGGGAGGCCAGCACTCCAGATATTTCCTACTGGTGCTGAATAGAAGGGAAGGATTTCTTCCCTCGATCTTCTGGCAACACCCTGCCTAATGCAGCCCAGGATGCCATTGGTCGTCTTTGCTGCAAGGCCACATTGATGGCTTATGGTCAACTTGTCCACCCGATCCCCAGGGCCTTTTCTGCAAGGCCACTGTCCAGCCTGTACTGCTGCATGGGGTTATCCCTCCCCAGTTAACAGGATTCCACATTACTCTGCTGAATTTCATGCGGTTCCTGTTAGCCCCTTTCTCCAGCCTCCTGAGGTCCCTCTGAAAGGTAGCATATCCATCTGGCCTGTTAACCACTCCTCCCAATTTTCTGTCATCTGCAGACATGCCAAGGGTGCCCTCTGTCCCTTCATCCAGAGAGTTAATGAAGATGTTATGCCGTATTGGCCTCGCTATTGACCCCAGGGGTGCTCCACTAGTGATCGGCCTTCAGTGTGCCGCTGAACACAGCCCCCCGAGCCTGCCAGTTCAGTCAGTTTTCGGTCCACCTCCTTTATCTAGTCCATACTTCATCAACTTGTAGATGAGTATGTTACGGGAGACAGTATCAAAACCCTTCCGGAAGTCAAGATAAACAGTATTGATTACTCTCTCCTCATGCGCCAAGCTAGTCGTCATGTTGTGGGTGGCTATCAAGTCAGTCAGGAATGATTTTCCCTTTGTAAATCCATGCTGACTGCTCCCAGTCACCTTCCAGTACTTAGTATGTTTGGAAACGATCTCTAGGAGTATTTGCTCCATCACTTTCCCCAGTACTGAGGTGAGGCTGACTGGCCTGTAGTTCTCCGGGTCCAGTGCGCGATAACAAACTCTTTTGTGGGAACAGAGCTCCCCAGCTCCCTTAGATTGCACGTTGCTCTTGCAGTTGAGAACCTTAGGGGTGTCTAGGAGCTCACTCTCAGGAGGGTTATGTGGTAAGTAATGAGACAAGCCTGGTATTGCGAGTGTAGTCCTAAGGTGTTCACACTTGCTTTTGCCTGCCACAGAATGCCGGTGCAGTATGTGCTTGGTGAGTGGGACTTCCAGGACCTGACTCTGAAGATGAGACCCCCAGTGTTTATTCCTCGGCCTGAAACAGAGGTATGGATGTGGGAACATGGCAGGGTGGGCTTGCATCTGTGCATTACATCATACAACACAGTCACAGCGTTGCTGTGAAGGCGCCCTGTTTATCGTGAGGTTGTAGTGATGAGGAGGTCAGATCACTCCGCTTCTTTTAGGACAGAGCGGGATTGTAAGCTTGTGGTCTGGAACTGGTGCTGGTGAACTTTGCCTCCCGGCTCAGAGCAAGAGATGTTGCAAGCTAGCGTATCACTTAATTGCAGAGGTCCATTGCCATTGATGGAAAGACTTGGCTTGCTTTCCTTACATCTGCTATAGTAATGACTCCTAGAAGCTCAAAACCTGTACTGCTATATCCCAGTGGCCTTAGTACTTTGATACAAGGACAAGAATCTTGAAGTTGTCCAAAGGCTGTTAGTAAAATCCTGCAGTAGTAGAAACCTGCTACTGGAAAATGGTGATGGACTCCAGAGAGCCCGTTTGTCCATGTGCAGACTGAAACAGGGGAGGTTGGTAGGAAATGGCACCTACCACCTGTCTGATGGCTCCACAGTGGTTTCTGAACAAACGCTGGCAACTGAAGGGTCGTTTCCTGAACGGTAACAAAATAAACACTGGAGACGGAAGGGTAAGTTCTGACCTGGTCTGGAATTACATATGAATGTCAGTCATAAGAATGTAAAGGACAGCCATACGTGATCAAGTTAAAACTGTTTTTGCCGGTGTTCCTGCTGCTAGGGAAGAGCCTGAGAACTACATGGTGACACTTTTCCCTGACAGTAGCCTAACTTTCAGCTCACGGACCGCCCTGGCAAGGAAGTCTTTCTGTTTATTAGTGCTCAGGAGGCTTTAGGTTTTGTGAGTTTTTTTTTTGGGGGGGGATTGTGTTGATTCCTTTGTTTTTTTTCCTTCTTTGAGAATTTGTTTTCTTTTGGAACCTGAGTTAACTTTTGGAGATGAAGTGGATTCCATAGCTTGTCAACTTAGGAGTTCCCTGTTTCAGTCTAATAGTAATTTTTTCATTTGTTTGCCTGCTGATTGGTGACTGTTGTAATGTGCTGGGGGCCCTCTGCTCAGGTCTCTGTAAGTAGGGGCCCATGCTGCAAAAGGAATGAGAAGGATCATTCAGATAGAATGTCCCCTATGAAATGTCAGAAGAGATGCTGAGGACTGAGTGGGCTTTGGAGATGGGAAGATCACCTTAGCTTTTTCTGGGGAAGGGATAGTATTGGGAATGTATGAAGAAAGCAGCAGCTCACCAAAGAGAGGATGCAGCCTGCAGAATCCTTCATCTGACACCTTTTGTTCCACAAAAGTTAAAAGGCAAAGACAGCCTCTGCTTCCGTTGTACTCTTTGAAGAAGAGGATGCTATTGGAATCCATGAGAAGCTTCCTGACAATTTAGTGGGAATCAGCACAGCTACCACTTAGACATACTCTCACCTCAGCCTGTAGAATATTCAGAACCAGAGTCTTTATTTGATGTGGGGCATCAGCAGCATCTCGTTGGAAGCCTGCTGGGCCCTAGATCATAGTGGTGGCACTTGTGTCCAGAGAAGGTGTGAGCTCTCTGTTGTGTCTGGGTTTGGTCACTCTGGTGACTAAGTTTGGGAATAGGGCTCTGAGGACTGGTTTGCCGGTTGGAGCCCAGTGATGGTTAGCTTTGTTACTGTCAACAGTATTTCTGCTCCAGTTGATTCAAGAGAGTATTTCCAGCCTCTGACTCCCCGTTAATTTGTGGCTGCAATGTGAGCATTAAAACCATGGAGAACTTGTATGTTCTGCAAGTCAAAACATCTGCTGGCAAGGCTTCCTCTGGTGCTGTGCTGTAGTTCTCTCTGTGCAGTGCCTGGCTTCAAACAAAGGCCTATTGTGTGGAGTGGAAGCCAGGGTGGCTAATGCCTGAGAACATCGTTAATTGTGCCCACATGCGTAATTTTGGTTAAAGTATCTCCCACTGGCCCAAACTGAAATACCGTGTGTGTAACATGCTGTGTTTGAAACCACTTAATGTACCCTGCTGCAAAAATGTGGCATAAACAGCTTAACCCAAGCCTTGTCTCTCTGGTAAAACTTTATTTGATGTGTCACGGTACTTACTATGAAGGCATATTTTTAGCACATTTATTATGGAAGGCCAGAAGTTTATGATGATAGCTCAGGAATGGAGCTCTTCAGGCAACTGAGATTTTTCTTGTGATCTGGTGCTGGGGAGGTTACTTGGATAGGAAGAGCATGGGGACAAAATCCAGCTATTTAGCAGCACCTGGCAGGACATTGCTTTAGGCATATGCTGCTTCCAGGAACCGTGTACTGCGTGCAACCTGTTGCACAAAGAGACCTGGTGTCCAGATCCTTTCCTTCTGCTAGGAAGGAAAGGTTGGTCATCTCTGACTCAGAGCTTTGTGCGGTGTGTTCGGGTTGGTGTTTGCCTGTGCATTGTTTCGTCAGAGTAATTTTCCAGACTTCACTGGACTTAAAAACTCTAGTGGAAATTTCTCCTCTCAAAAATATTGAAGTTAGTTGCATCTGTTGCTCTTTCTGTTTAGGATTTGTCTGCAGTGTTCTTAAAGCCAATAGTGCTGAAATTTTTCAACAAATAATACCTGTAAATAATCCTTGTTCTTTAGGAAGCAATTTGTTATCAACATGGATCTTGCAGGTTCAAGTTGCTTACCTGTGACTGCACACACAAGCCACATGGCACGGCTTGTCCTTGGCTGAGTAAACGCGACTCCTCAAATTGACTTCTTAGTGCAGATACATGAGCACCTGCAAAATTTGCTTCCGAGTTATATTTGTGTAGCTTCTGCAAATGCTCCTGCTTGTTGATTCAAAGACTGAAAGGAGGAAGAGCCATCTTCATCATGCACGTTTCGTTCTACGATTCCAGCAGAAGGGTTGTGGCTCTCGCTCCCGACGCGTTGGTACTGGCATGAAGGCAGGCACAGTAGGACATAAACCGCCAGCATTGTTTCAGTCCTGGGGACAGAGACACGCATGCAAAGAGAGGAGCTCAGTTGTCCGCCTAATTTTGCCCTGTGTGCAGTTTGCCCCTTTGGAGTCTATTTAGTTCTCTCTGGTAGCTGAGCCCTCTCCCATTTGCTCCCTCTGGGAACATTTTTTCAGCACATGTGGCTTCGTTCTTGTGTTCCATGGGAATCTGGGTGGAGAGGGGACAGGCAGCCAAAATTGGGAAACTAGCAGGTCCTGTTTAAGCTCTGAGAGCAGGAGAACAAAGCTGACTGCATTCAGTCATAACTTCTTGGTGCACAGGACTGATGGATATCGCTGTGAGCACAGCCATCCTGCGTTGGAGGAGAGTTTTGTTAAGCAGACCTCAGTCTCGCCTTCCTCCAGTTACCTGGCCCTCTGTGAGCAACGCTTTGGACTTGCTGCTACAAGGCTTGTAGCTCGTGGAACTCAGTGTCCTGCCTGCTTTCCTCATGCGACCACCAGAGCCAGGCTTCTGCCCTGGGAAGGTGTTTGGGCCAGAGTTTAGGGATGTGCTCATTCTTGTGAGTTATATTTCACGATTATTGTTGCAATATCAAGGAATCCCTGTCTCAGCATTGCTCAGTCACTGTACTAACAGAGAAGAAAGTCCTTTTCCCAAAACAAGGCCTTCTAAAACTCAGGCAGCAGCCTGGGGGGTCAGAGGAAAAACAGAGAAAAGAGGAGGAGAACTCAGCCAACCGTGGATATGTAATTCCTGTTTTGTTCAGGCAAATACAGGCTAAATGAAGCCTCACCATGACTTCATTCAGGAAAGGTTTGGTTTGGGCCAGGACTCCTCTGAAGGAAGCTGCTCGGGATGTGGGGCTCACCAGTCTGTTACCCCTAGAGGGCACTCCAGGCTCAGAGAGTCCCTGATGGTTCTATTTCCTATTAGTTATTGCAGGATTTCTGGTGTTTCTGATCCCCTCCTCTCTCAGATGCTGTGTTTTAAAGCAAATGAAGGCTTATTTGTTCAGTGGAAACAAAAATTGTCATCTCTTATCCCTTGCAGCTACTGTGTGGGTAAAGTCAGGTTGTCAGACATTGAGCTGTCTTCTTGCTGGAGAAAAAGTGCTGGGAGGAGCACTCCAGTTCTGCTTGGGAGGATTATCACAGTCCCACCATCCCCTCTGACCCTCAGGGCACCCAGGAGTCCCCTGGTGACACCTCTTTGACCTGTTATGATCTCAGCACGAGCTCAGATCCTACATAATTTTTTTCTGTCTTGACTTCGTTGTGGTGACTGTGTCATGAGAACAGTCCATTGTCCTGTAAGGGGGAGGACACTGTATGCTGAGGATGCATGTTTAGCCTGGGAGACATCTTA